TGCTCTGGACTGGTGATACTCACAAGTAAGGTCAATAGAAACACCGGTAATGATATGTCCGGCCTTACATGTTTGAGCTGAACTCAAGACCCCGAATCGGCAACGACAGGAGACAATAAGCCAGGAAATTTCAGTTTTGACAATATGGGACCTTTAAAAAAAAATACGCCAGGCATTCTAGACAGCTAGACATTATTAGACATTATTTTTAATATTTTAAATTAGCTTTTATTTTTACATTTTTTGAGCAAGTAAGGTAAAAATAAATGCATATTATAAGACAACAAAAGTGTTTTTTGACCTTGCATGCATGTCAACCTGTTGTTGGGGACTCCCAAAACCAAAATATGAACCTTTCATTACCCATAATAGGGGCACTTTAAATGTTTAAGCTTTTATCTGATATTTATATTTTATTTCAGATTCATATTAATTACCCAAAATGATTTTTAATAGTTTAATAGTTTTAGTAAACAATCACACACTGATCCTAGACAGTCTTTTAATGAAGTTTCAAGTTGCAGCAAGTTTTCTTTAATTGATAGTTTGATTTGAATCACTCACATCAATTCAATGCAAATGTGTAAAAGATTGCTTTTACGAATTGACGGCAACAGCAATTACTAAAGACAATATATAAATACAGGTATTGATGATTAAAATCTGAATAAAATTTTTTTTCATACTGTAAATAATTCATTAGTGTAACTGTAGGCTGTTTTCAGTTGCCACTTTGCACATTAATATGTATATAATTTGTTGTCACAGATGTGCATTTAAAGACATTTTACAAAGGCTTTGAATGTGACTTATTCATCATAATTTATTTGATAAGCCCTCTTTGTCTTTCAAACAGCTCTTACCTATCAAAGCGGAGACGCTGCTCTCATCGAGAGTCATTGCTGTCTTGTACCATTTCATGGCCTCCTTCACCCTTCCCAGAAGGACCAGCTGGTAGCCCATCTCTGTGGCCAGTTCAGAGTCGCTCGAGGCCTGTGCAAACGCCCGCTCCACCATCCTGTGAGTGTGCTGAAGGACCTTCTCAGCTCTTCCACACTGCAGAGGGATCAGATATTCACATCAACACATCTATCTGCAGCATCATTTCTTTTATGAAACAACAGCTTATCAAAACATGTTATTTCCTGCTCAGTATGGTTTCACTTGTGAGCATGTCACGTTTATATATAACAGCATGTGGCAAATCCGTCTGGTTTGTGATGTGCAGGATTCTAATCTTCAAGTTCAAATGAATATTAAGTTGTGTGTCCATGGATGAGTATTACCACTCGAGTGAACGCTAAAGACATCCTGTAGAAGAGCTCCGGATTGTTCGGTTCTTGAATGTCCAGATTACTGATCAGATTTGATAGTTGATTTACACACTGAAAAAAGAAGAAAGAAAATGAATGAGAATCCTTAAAGAGAGAGAAATATATATACACAACCATTCAAAAGTTTGAGGTCGGTAAATCTTTTAATGTTTTTGAAATAAGTCTCTTCAGCTCTCCAAGGCTGCATTTATTTGATCGAAAATACAGTAAATACAGTGACATTGTGAAATATTATTACAATTTAAAATGTAAAAATGGGATTTGTGATGCAAATCTGAATTTTCAGCATCATTACTTCAGTCTTCATTGTTACACGATCCTTCAGAAATTATTCTAATATGCTGATTTGCTGCTCATTTCTTATTATTATCAGCGTTGAAAATAGTTGTGCTGCTGCACATTTTTGTGGAAAGCGTGAGAAATCAGGATTCTCTGATGAAAGAAAAATTTTTTTACAGTCATTTTAATGGGATTTAATGTCTCCTTGCTGGATAGAAGTATTAATTTCTTGCAAAATAAATAAATGAACAAATCTTACTTTTGAAGAAGCAAACTTTTGAATGACAGTGTATATATTCACTAATTCATAATCAAATTTATATTCACAAAATATGATTCACAATGACACCACTCAAATTCATAAATGTTGACTGTTTTTACATTTACAAATTAAATGTTGAATCTGAATCGTCAAACATCACCTTATATCAGATTTCGAGACTTTTCTGACCACAATCAAGTGGTTTTGATCACAAACACATCCAAAATATGAAGCAGAACTTCATGAAGGACTTATGCCAGGTTGAAGTCTAATAACTCAACAGGCACAAAATTTAATGCGGTATTCTTGTGACATACACTTTTCATTGTGATCCACAGACTATCTGATCCCATAATGAATGACTTTTCTGGCATTTAATGTGTGTAATGTCACACCTCTCCAACATCTCCTTCCATGCAGAGAGAGTGCAGCGCCAGCATCCTCAGAGCCTCCAGGTTATTTTTATCTCGCTGGAGAAGCCTGAAGTTCAGAAGATGAAATTAAAGTCAAAGTCTGTTGATGTGTAAAACAGATGTTCTGAGATGTCTTTGCATAAAGCATTTTTTCCCTGAATATTTAGATATACGTTTTCAATATCCATTATAAACATTACTTTATTCTGTGATAAACACCACATTATAAACTTTTTAAAAAAGCTTGTTTATTTCAGGGAAACTCAGCTCACAAATATCACCTGCTCTATCAGAATCAGAATGAGCTTTATTGCCAGGTATGTTTACATATAGGAGGAATTTGTTTTAGTGACAGAAGCTCCACAGTGCAACAGAATGACAGTGACAAGACAAGACACAGATAATAAAAGAATAATATACAAAATAGCAAAAACACAATATATACAGTAGGGCTGAACAATTAATCGAATTTCTAATCGCAATTACAATTATGGATGCCACAATTACGTAATCGTTCAAAGCGGCAATTAATCGTTCAAAGTCCACTTATGTTATTCTGCACGCTTAAGATATGTTTTTTTCTTTCTACATGTTATCTTAAGGGTTTTTCCATTGTTTAAGTTTCAGTATAACATTATAATACCATTCATATTTTTACTTTTTTTATCTTTAAAGAAGAAACCAATCCGATGTATAGCTGACATTTGAGGCATAATACTATAGAAAAGCACTAAAGTTTATCAGTTAGTGTTTTCAGCTTGTTTATTTTCATATAAAAATACGGCATGCAGTTGCATCAAACAATGGTATAAACATCATTCAAGTGTAAATTGTGATAATCGTAATTAACAATCGCAATTATGATTTTTGTCATAATCGTGCAACCCTA